CAATCAAAGCCAACCCAGCTGCCCTTTAAAAAGCACTGATAAATGACATATGGTATAAATGCTGATATCTCCCATCATACTGTGCCTTGAAGGGCATGAGAGCAGACAGAGAGAAAAGAGTGGATGACTTTGACAAAGATAGTGAAGGAAGACGTACAAGCAATGAAAATGGGCTAACCAGGAAAAGAGATTCCTGCAACAAATAAGAGAACGGGTGCTGATGTAGAGAGGCTCGAGTTTGTAAAATTTCATGTTAAATGGCATGAGCCATCGCGGGCCCTTGGGAAAAGGACTTGTGCAATTTTTTCTGGCATCTGAGGTGAGAATAACCATGAATGATTGCGTAGTCAGGAGAGCACAGCCGTCACCAGCTATTAAATCCACTTCTGCACGGACTGGTGTGGAAAAAAAGGAGACTCGTTACAATGCGAGATATGTGCATGATAGCCTGTTCTGTCTGAACGAGATGAGAGGAGATGCTCGTGTTTATGGATATGCTTAAATCTCATCAGACAGTGTTCACTGCGTTCATCGCGGTGACCATCTCTTTCAAGTTTCTCATCAATAAAAACTACAATCCCAGAATCACGTGAGCCTTTGTTCTGCGTCTCCCTTCCTGCCTTTCTCCTGTACGATCTTGCCATCACTACCCGTGTGCTGCTTGATCAGTCCAGAAGGGAAGGCAGGAGTGACCAGGTTTCATTCATTTCTAATCCGCAGAGGGAATATGAGCCGGGCTTTTCATGTTGTTGTGCTGCGATTCTAGGATCAATATACAGCGAGCTGCTTCTGTTGTCAATTGAAGAATCGATCCTGGTGAATGATGACAAGGCCACATTGCTAAAGAAAATCAGATTCCTTTAAAGACGATCAAACATTCTTTCAAAACATTTTTCCAGCTAGAGAGAAACCTTAAAAGTGAAAACCGAACTGAGGCTTCACAACATTACACACACAAAAGATTGCTCTTGAAACTTAGCCACAGTTCTGTCCAGTTTAGCTGAATTAGTAGAAACAACAAACACCACAACTAACTCAAACTAGTTTCAATCTGCATAAACATCATGAGGTAATGGGTTAATATAACTTTGAGTAGCTTTGTCAGTATTTTGAACAGTAATAATTTTTTTTTCCAAATGTTACTGTTTTTACTGTATTTTTAATCCAATATATACATATTTGAATGTTTGAGTATATAGAGGAAAAAAAAAAAACTTTTTACACATAATATGTTACACATAATATTTTTCTTTTTCACATTGCAAATGGATCGTTATACAAAAAAATAAATAAATAAATGAATTTATGCTCATACTGTATATTTTAGGAGGTTCTGCAAGGGAATCATCATATTTTTGGGTCCAAAAAATGGTTTGAAGACCCCTGTCATAAGCACCCAATTATTACTCCACATGAAAAACTCGACTTGATTCTGACATTAGCATGTTGTCAACAGCACAATATTATATTAAGCATGAAAACCACAGCACATTAGGCCAAATAATATCTAAATATTATCTAGGGTTTCCCTTACCCCGACTACAAAGGAAACATGCGATGCTCCCTTAAATTTAGAGACAGCACATAGCTTAAAACGCTGCCTCCCTAGGCAGTTTACTTGGTTTTACAACAGAGCCTCTGTTTGTTGTTCAGTCTTTGTTCTTTTGCAAACTTTCTTAAAGGGGTCATATGATGTGATTTCAAGTTTTCCTTTCTCTTTGGAGTGTTACAAGCTCTTGGTGCATAAAGAAGATCTGTAAAGTTGCAAAGACTAAAGTCTCAAATCCAAAGAGATATTCTTTATAAAAGTTAAGAGTCAGCCACACCTACCTAAAACGGCTCGTTCTAACACGCCCCCACATGTCTATATCACGATGTGGGAAGATTTTGTTACGTCCCTTTTGTTCTACTTCTGTGTTTTCTTTTGTTTGGGAAGTGTTTGTGTGTGTCTTCTGTCCAGGAAGAAGCTGATTGGTTCCTGCAGTCTAATTGGTGCCACGCCCTGCCTGATCAGCTGACTCCTTGCTGCCTATAAGAGACTCCGTCATCACTTCCTGCTTCAGCTTTTGTGCTCTCTTGTTGTGTTTGCTCTGCCTTGACTCTGCTAGTTAGTTACATGTGTTCGTAAGACTGAGAATTTCTGTGTGTGTTCAATCGAGTGTTCGCTGGTGAGAGATTGTTTGTTGTTTGTTAGTTTGCTTTGCCCATTTATTCTTACTACTGACTTCCGCCTGTTCTTTGACTATGATTCTGGATTGCCCTTGTTCGGATCTGTTCGCTTATCATTGTAAATAATTGTATATAATAGAATTCTGGGGAGGTAGGGAAACCGACGCCATTTTTGTTGGAACCTTGTTTGGTGATTGTTTTTGGATAGTAAGTTAGGGAAGTAATTGTATTTTATTTTTTTATTTTGTGAACTAGGGAATTTAGAGGTTTGTATATTAGCGGGAGACGGCATCACAGTATGTTAAGGGGCGTAACATTTCCATCACACGCTTATTCGGTATTCGGCCAATCACAAGGCACTGGATAGCTGGCCAATCAGAGCACACCTCGCTTTTCAGACCGATGAGCTTTGTAAAAATCGACGTGTTTCAGAAAGGCGGGGCATAGAGGAGAAACAATAATGTACAGTATGTGGAAAATAATGTGTTTTTTTAACCTTAAAATGCATTAACACATTGATTTACACCAAATACACAAAATAATGTTCTTTTTAGCAACATCATATGACCACTTTAAAGTTGCTTTCATTGGTAATTGTTGTTTCACTTGAGGCCAGGTGAGGATTGTTTTGTTGGCCTTTGAATTCTCCTCTCGTTCTTCCCGCTTTGGCATCAATCAATGTCTCACATCGTTTGTTTGCGTATTACAGCGTGCGGAGCAGGCGTGTCAGTCCGTCACTCTCTTTTAGGCAGGAGGGTTAGGACACTTTGCGGTTGAGGCTGACTGTAGCATTATGGGAGCGCCTAGCCTGTGATTACAGATGTGCATGCGGTGCGTGATCTGCAGCCAGAGAGCTCAGCTGTTTGAAGGACAGTGACTCTCTCAGGTACTCATGGTCTCCTCTGACCCTCCTCTTGCTGTGTGGCATATTTTACATGCCAGAATACCTCAGTCTCCTTAGAGGTCAACTGTTCAATTACAGTCAGATTTTCACCCCGGTCCCCCCGGACAGCCCCCTCCTGTTTCACTCTTCTGCCTGACCTCTCTCTCTATGACAGGAGATGAATTCAAATGAGCTTATTCAGCTGGTGGGATGAGGGGATATAAGGGTAAATATGAAAGAACGCATGACAGCTCCTCTATCAAATAAAAACACAGCCTTTCTATCAAGCGTCAAGTCTGACACTTTGATTGGCAGCTGGCTTTTAAAATCGTATCTGCATCTCATCAAGGTGACATGCGCTGCTAGACTGTGGAGATCGAAATATTTATAGAATTATAATATTAAATCATATACGGGTTGCATAGTAGCTCATGGCTATATCAGACTTTTCTTCAGGTCAGCATTTCAGATCATATCGCTCAAGTCAATAATGTCATTTAAAATGCATGAGGGTTACAAATACTGCTTATCATTGCATGCATGTTAAATGGAGTGAGATGCAAGATCTGTTCTCAAACCTAGTGAGCTGCCTTGCTGCCTACGGCCTACATACAGTAGGCAGTTGACTTCTAAGGCGGCATCCTAACCGTCCTGACCGATTTCTGAAAAAAAAAAAACCTTTGTGAAAAAGAAGTATGCTTTAGCATACTTTTGAAAAGAATACTTACAAAAGAAAATAACATACTTCAAAACAATATATCTACAGGGAAAACTGAATTGAATGTTTTCAGACACTTAAATGCATGTTAATTACAACGAAATGAATGTAATTACAATTAAATTAATTCTAGTTGGGAGTGCTTTTTTGACCCACTACATCTTTATATGTAATAGCATATTTACTTCCATTGTCTTTGAAATATGGTTAAAGTGTACCGCCAAATGTACTTAAATCTTATAAGCTAAAATACACTTTAATTTCTATTGAAACTCATGTCTTTACATATATTTGCAATTACACAATCATAATAATAATAAAATTAAAGTATTTTACATGTGTTTAGTGTGTTCTACAACAACTGTACTTCTTTAAAGGAAAACAAAAGATTATTAAAACAATGATTTAAAATGTACTTTAAAGTAAAACTTTTCGTTTAACATTATTACAAAGTGCACTTGTGTGCAAAGTGTGTTAAGAAACATCTTCATGAAAGTGTCCTCTCTTTAAGGGCACTTAAGTGACCTTTAACATTATATTATCTTTAAGTACATTTTTTTTAAATATACTTTTAAGATTTTAAGTACACTACAAGTGCACATTTAAACAATTAAGCATTCTTCTATTTCACAAGGGCTTTCATTAAAAATATTAATTTTTAGTGAATACTGATGGAGCAACACAATTTGTGTGTAAAAACATAACAGAAGAATTTTTTATAAGTATCATCAACAAGTGCTACAAGTGCACATTCAATACAATTAAGAACACTTCTTTTTTACAAGGTTACACAGAAAGCATCCTATTATGCCATATGCGGTAACACTTTATTTTGATAGTCCTCTTTAGACATTGTACTAACTATAACAATCTACTAGCAGTCAGGAGAGTATTAGTAGACTGTCCGCTTAATATCTGCTAACACTCTATTTTAATGGTCCATCAACTTTGCACATACATGACAACTTATTCTACTAACCCTAAACCTAACACTCTACTAATCTGTAATGATCATTTTCAGCATTGCATTATTGCATAAAAGTTCTTCATAATCAATATAACTGAGCTTGTTGCAATATATTCTGAGATTGTCTTCTCAGCGAAGGAGTCATGTGACTCTGCCTTTGTATTTGGCTAAAACAATGCATCTTAGGTTGCCTAAAAATGCTGCCTGTGGAGTCAGCTCATTAGGTTTTGGAACGCAGCCGAGAGAGAAAGAGAGACGCTCACTGGGGTTGGGCGGAAAAAGCGTGCAGCTCTTGCAGTGGATGATTTCCTTCACAATGGGCATGTCTTGCGAAACCGGCGGGGGTACAATCCCAAGGCCGGGCATCATGGGGTTCATCGGAGCAATTCCAGTCATCATGCCGAGGCTGGGGTCAAAATCTGCAGGAACAGAAGAGAGGACATCACAAAGGACTGAGTGAATAAAAGCCACTTTAGTCTACATGCTGGTACCATTCTGGTGTGGCACGAATTAAAGCTATGAAAGCTAAACACTCTCCCTCGAAAATAAATAAACAAATAAGTCTAATACATATTTAAAAGGCTTTCCAAATGAATAGGTTTTTACTGACTCATTCCCCCAGCTGTTTGCCTTGGCTTGTTACTATGCGCAAGCGGTCCATCTGTGGGCAAAAAAAAGTGAACACTGGCTTTCATTTACAGGTATCGGTTTAGACTACAGCTGCATGACAGCGTGGAGCTCTTTGAAATGGAAATGACGAAGGCCTCGGTCTCTGCGGTCTCTCCTGCACCTGTGGAGAGTTTATGCGTCTATCTAACCGTACTAAGAGCACTCAGCTCACACACTTCAAATATTTCCCTTATTTGCAGCCACATAAGATAAACAAGCTCTGCCTCTGGCATGGGGAAAAAATAGCAAAAAAAGTTCTGAGAGTAAAGATCCATGAGATGTAAATCACACTGTAAATAAACACACCATACTGTAAGTAAATAATGCAAGAACACGTTTCAGGGTTCATATTCAAAGCCTAATATCTCCATATACACATAATAAAATAAATATTTAATATTATAATATAAACTAGATGAGAAAAGTTTGTGAACAAACTTTGAAGTTGGCTTGAGAAAGCCTAGCCTGAAAGTTTGAAGCAACTGTAAAAAGCTTGACGTTTGAAAGCTTAGATTATCATCTTGATTAGCATGTTGTATGTTGCTAACATGATTAGTATGTTGTAAACATGTTGCTAGCTTGTTTTTAGAATATTAGCATGCCATTAACATGTTACTAATATGAGTAGCATGCTGTCAGCTCTTTGTTAGCATGATTAGCATGTTGTTAACATGTTTCTAGAATGACTATATATTGCTAACATGATTACTGTGTTGTTAGCATGTTTCTAGCATGATCATCATTTTGCTAGCATGATTAACATGTTGCTGGCATGATTAGCCTGTTGCTAGTATGTTGTTGATAACATGAATAGTACATTGCTAACATGTTTTAGTATGTTGCTAGCATGATTTAACATGTTTTTCTCAGATAGTCATTAAGCTTTGCTAGTGACAGACAGCTTAAACACTCTGATTAGCATTGCTGTTAGTATGTTTTTAACATGATTAAAAAAAAAACATGCCTGAAAAGAAAACAAGGGGAAAAAAACCTTCCGTATTATGAAACACGATAAAAGGACAGAGAAATCTAGAAACCTAAGCCCAGAACCCACTGATCTCATCTATAAAATGCTTTCATATGACCTGTAGCGTCTGGACCAATCAGACACACCATTTTCACCATTTCCAAACTTGTATCACACCTGAGGTTGTTCATTGTTTGCTCATAATCGTAGTCCGTAATCATGCAGATTTCTGCTACATGCTAGTACACAAGTAGTATTGTACAGTAAGAAAGTTATTTCCCTTAACCAGGAAATTAACGTTCTTAGAATTGACAGACAGTTGACCGAGAGGTCAAGTAAATACTTACAGCGGATCTAAATATTTATAATTAATTATAACTAGTTATGATTAATTATTAATATTTCCCCTTTGAGCTGATTTGCTACAGACCCAACACTTGAGGTCAACTCTACTACATCAGGCAGCTTAATTTAGTGTTAAGAAAATCTATTAGAGGATAGTAGCAGATGCTAATTGACATAAGAAAATCAAATATGCAAACATGAACGCTTTCATGATGGTCTGTAAGAGCTGTTGGACATGAAGCTGTCTCACAGGATGGTGGGGCTGGAGCGTGAGGATAAACTCTGAACTGGCAGACGTGTCTGAGCTGTGAGGGTGACAGGGCCAGAGCAGGGCCTCTCTAGGGGAAGCATTAACAGAAGCAGGACAGGAGGTGCAGCATGTAGACAGAGGAGCACATCGCCTGCCTTAATGACTCTGTTAGTATTGATATTTCTGTCTCTCAGCCACTAATGGAGGCAGAAGATAAGATGGTCCTCAGTGGTATGGATGCCACGGCTTCTGCCGTGTATTCCTGGACTTCAGGTCTAAATCAGAACCACATAATTAGGGCTTTTCCTGCATGGCCAATTTTTCAGCTGCCACAATGCAAAACTGTAGCCTGCCAAAGCAAATTAAATTATATATGTGACCCTGGACCACAAAATTTCGAAATTGAGATTTATACATCATCTGAAAGCTGAATAAATAAGCTTTACATCGTTTGTTAGGATAGGACAATATTTGGCCGAGATACAACTATTTGAAAATCTGGAATCTGAGGGTGCAACAAAAATCTAAATATTGAGAAAATCGCCTTTAAAGTTGTCCAAATGAAGTTCTTAGCAATGCATATTACTAATCAAAAATTAAGTTTTTATATATTTACAGTAGGAAATTTACAAAATATCTTCATGGAACATGATCTTTACTTAATATTCTAATGATTTTTGGCATAAAAGAAAAATGAATAATTTTGACCCACAAATGTATTGTTGGCTATTGCTACAAATATGCCCCAGCGACTTAAGACTGCTTTTGTGCTCCAGGGTCACATATGATCATGGTTTTGTTTTAGTAAATGCAAGTGTTATATTGAGAGAAATGTCAGAGATTTGCTAAAGAATAGTTCACCCAAAATGAAAATTTGCTGAAAATGTACTCACTCTCAGGCCATCCAAGATGTAGAGGAGTTTTTAGATGTCACTTTGTAAAGAAACACTACACGTCTGCGCACATACGCATTCCTATAGACTGAACATGTAATAGGCGTGTGCATAATGTCACCGTTTTCACTAATTTGCGTTTTTGTAGTTTATACAGAGACTTAACTGTATTGTTTTCAAAAATGTGCATTTTGAAACTTGTTTTCTAAAATTTGCATTTTCAAGCCCTCATAATGCCATTGTTGTGTAAATTAATGGTCAAAAAACATAAAAAAGTTAGATTTTTCGTTGAAAACTGTCATGTAAACACCTTAAAGCAGCACTAAGTAACTTTTGGCGCTCTAGCGGTTAATAAACAGAACTGCACACATTCCGTGGAAGAACATTCCAACCGGAGCTACTTCTCTAAGTTTATGTCTATGGCGATTCACGCAGGTATGTGTTACTCCGCAGCTGTGATGACCCGACCAGGCTACAATAGTCCAAATATAAGTACTTATTATAAGTGTACCGTAGTGATTCGGAATAAGACAAAAAACGCGGTTTGGAAGATGAATTCTTGATGTACTCGCTCATCATATACATTTTGAACACAGAAAAAGTTACATAGTGCTGCTTTAATCGTAACAGATTTGGAGAAATGTAGCATTGCATCGCTTGCTCAGCAATTGATGCTCTGCAGTGAATGGGTGCCGTCAGAATGAGAGCCCAAACAGCTGATTAAAACATCACAATAATCCACAAGCACTAAACTCCAGTCCAGTCCATCATTTAACGGATTGTCAATCGAAAAGCTGAGTGTTTGTGAGAAACAAATCCATCAGTTGCTTCAACTTTATTCCATCACTTCTGGCTAAAATACCAGTCTGTAATCCATAATAACAATTCCTCCAGTGAAAAAGTCCATCCACTGCTGTCCTCTCACATCAAAATCCACTCAGAAACAACGGTTTGAAGTTAAAAACATCCTAATGATTCATTTCTTTATTACAAACACACATGTTACCTGATGGACTGGAGTGGTGTGGATTGCTTGTGGATTATTGTGATGTTTTTATCAGCTGTTTGGACTCTCATTCTGACGGCACCCATTCACTGCAGAGCATCCACTGATGAGCAAGTGATGTAATGCTACATTTCTCCAAATCTGATGGAGAAACAAACTCATCCTAATCTTGGATGGCCTGAGGGAGAGTAAACTTTCAACTAATTTTATTTGAGTGAACTATTCCTTTAAATAATCTATTAGGAACAAGAAAGTCAACTTCATTTTTATTTCAACCGTTGTTCTCATATATTACGAAAAACAGGCCTTGTTTGATTTCAGATATTACAAGATATGTGTTAAATCATTAAGAGATTCTGATGAAAGGAAAACAATATCTGTGAAAAAGCAGGAAACAAATATTCTCATTAGAAACACATTCTCGCCTCTAGTGGTCTACTTAGTCTGAATATTTTAACTAGCTCTAAATAAATAAGGTCTTATTTATATTGAGTTAGTTTTACTTACAGCAATTAAACGTAGAGGATTCTATGCTGAATTTAAAAGACTCAGGATGCTTGGATGATCAATCACATCGATCATTTTATGTAAACAATTAACAATCAAATGCATTAATTGCAGTTATACAGTATAATCAACAAAGTTCATGCGTGTGGATGAACAGGAAAACCCCTTATAATCATATGGTATTAAAATCTGAAGGGTATAAAAAGGATTTTTCAAAGGATATGGTTTGAAAGAGAAATATGAATCATAGCCAAAGGAACACAGCAGACTGTTGTCACGCACAGGCAAGAGACGAGGAGTTCAGGTAAACAGAGGGGTTTATTGTCAATGGAGGGAGTTTTGTGCATACTCGGCCCAAGGAAGGTAGCGGCTCCAGCTGTGCTGATCGTCATGGCAGTATGACTGGAGATAACGTCCGAGCTCCTGGATCCTTCGTTCAGTCTGGCCATTGAAACAGATCCACTTGGAGAAGGAAGCCGCCACACACAGCCGCGTCATCAGCATATGAAGCAGGCAGGGCCAATGCAGGTGATCAGAATTCGGGTGATTGGGATCTGGTGTGTGTCGGAGGAGGTGACTGTGCTGACGTGAGTGATTGCGATGATCTCCTGACAACTGTGAAAAACTTTCAAAGTTGCACCTTTCGATCCCACATAGAAAACAACCAGAGGCAAATCCTTGTGAAGCTGCATGTCCACTGTGACCAAGCAATGGAGATAAAATGAGGATACAGAAGAGGTACAGGTCAAGGTTTTGAACGCACTGCTGAGAAAGACTTGCAT